AGCATACAAGATGGATTTCTTTTTGTTCTACATCAGCTCCCCAAATAAAATTTCTCGAAATCCTATCTAATTCATTGTGGATAGAAGTAGGCAGGTAAGTAGCTTGCATGTAATAATTAGGAACAGCAGCTAACACAGATTTAGCTAAGGTAGTACGACCTGCCATGGAAAGAAACTTGGTCTTCCACCTAGCAAGTTTCGTCCTGACTTTATCCACAAGGAATTGACAATGCCTCTTGTTCAACTTACAAGCTGAAACAGGGATACCCAAATATTTACCCAGATTCTCAGTTTGGTTGTATCCTAAAATAGAACATATAGAATTGCGAGAGGCTTGATCAACAATTTTTTGAGAATAAGATTTTGAATTTCTGCAAATTAATCTTTTGTCCTAATCTAGAACAGAAGAAATCCAAGATATTTTTCAAGAGGACTTCGTTAGTCACGGTGGCTTTCCCCAAGAAGATAATATCATCAGCAAAGAATAGATGAGAGAATAAAGGACCTCTCTGTCCTACTTTGCTACCTTTCCAATTGCCTTTGTCCATTTCTAATGTGATCGTTATCGAGAGATGTTCCATACATAATATAAAAATATAAAGAGAGAGGAGATCACCTTGCCGGATACCACGAGTAGGTGTAAAGCTGTCTGTTTTATCCTTATTAATGAGAACTAAAATAGATGCCAAGGTGATAGAAGACATAATAAGGCGTATGATATCAGGAGGAAATTTAAAGAAAATAAGAGTTTCATGGATAAAACTCCATTCTAATCTGTCATACACCTTTTCAAGATCAAGCTTACAAACCATGTCTCTAGTTTTGCCCCTCTTCTTGTTGAAGGAATAGACAAACTCTTGAAGAATAAGAACATTATCAGTGCCCTGCCTACCCGGGATAAAACTAGCTTGACAAGGTGAGATAATTTTATCCATCCAAGGCTTGATTCTATGAACAAGAATCTTAGAAATAATTTTACCTAATGCATCAACCTTTGACTCAATACGATTAATGGGGGTAGTTCCTATTTTAGGAACAAATTTCTACAAGCTTATGTCTTCAAAATCTCATAGCCTCTTGTTCGTTGGAGGGGTGGGTGAGGCTTTTCATAGGAAAGCAACAGATTGAATATTTAGCTATAGTATTGTGCAACTGTGATACCTTAAATCTAGGTAGCTAGGCATATTGATTAATTAATTTTGCTAGGGTGAAGCATACAAGTTATTTTGGCCAGAAAAGTCTAAGAGTTTGTGAGGATGGCTACTAGATTTGGAGCCAAAATAGTACCATTTGGCACTGTTGGAGTAGATGATTTTGCTGAAGTCATTTATTATTATAATGATCAACTAAAAATTCCTTACTTTAAGGATTTTATAGAAGATATAAAATATATTTATTTTGTTGATAAAAAAAAAGGATTTTATAGAAGATTTGACAGAAGAGGTTGTGGTATTGAGGTATATATATTTTGATCAAGTCTTAAATTACAAAATGCAATCAATGTCCGTTTGATGAGGTTTCTGTAACCATGGATGATGGGAATGAAAGAGAAGGCAAGGTGTCAAACCAACAACTTTACCAATCATGACTGGCACCAAGGTTTCTAAGAATATATTATTTTTATTTTGGGAAACCAATTGGAACCCAAGGTATGTACATATATAGTCAGTTTACATTAATTTATGGAGTAATTTTTTTATTTATGGTTTGGCTCATGGCTGGCTTTAATTGAAATGTTAAAAACTATTTGTTTGGTTTTATTATACTACTAAAATTCTCCTCTTTAGTAACATGGAAGCACGTTAGTGAAAGTGCTTCCCATGTTGCCGAAACTCCTTCAGCTACATAGTTGTTATTGCTAAATGCTTTTGTTGGAAATGCTTTGCTGGGTGATACATTACCAACACGCTTTTTGTTGCTGATTCATGGTGCTTTTTCAGCAACATAAGTCACGTTGCTGAAGACATAAGTCATATTGCTGAAAACATAGTTTCAGCAACGTGACTTATGTTGGTAAAAATATTCATAAGAATTTGATGGAGGATTCTTGTGACTATTTCATCAACATATGCCTTGTTACTAATTATATAGTTTCACCAACATGACTTATGTTGATAAAAATAATCACTAAAATTTGGCATTGAAATTGTGGCATCATTTTTCAACAACATAAGTCATGTTAGTGAAACTATATTTTCAATAACGTGGCTTATGTTGCTAAAAATTAGGAGGGAGTTTGGTCACACACTTGTCAACAACATCTGCCTTGTTGCTAATTACTTTTGAATAATACAACCTATTTTTAGCAACAAAACCCTTGTTGTTGATTTTTCCATTTTTAGCAACAAGCACTATGATGTTGATAGCATGTTGAATAGTAAAGCACCCTATTTTCAACAACATAACCCTTGTTGTTGACGTTTATTCGAATAGCACCAATAACATTTTTAGCAACACATCCTTTGTCGGTGATGTATCAGAATGCCTGATAAAAAAAATTATACCTAGTAAGATTTTGAACACATATTCTTTATTTTCACTTATATGATAATAAATATATTACATTAATTTTATACTACTCTTATTAAATTTAACAATAATACAACATTTAAATATGAAATTCACTTTTT